TAGTACTCTTGTATTGTTTCCTCAATTATTCATATTGTAATATATTTTTTTGAAAATCATAATTTCAAAAAAATATATTATAGTAAAATTTATTTAATACAATTGCATGCTCAAATAATTATTTAATACCAGTGCCACTTCCTAATCTACTTATTTTAAAATGTGTAATACCCACGGAGATTCCAAATTCAAAATTTAATACCATGGCTATTCTAATTTACTTATTTTATACAAATACATGTTCCAAATTCAAAATTTAATACCCATGATATTCTAATTAACACATTTAATACCGATGCATGTTCGAAATTCAAAATTTAGCTCCAAAACTGTACTAATTAACTCGTTTAATACCAATGCTAATTCCAAATTTACTTTTTTTATACCAATGCATGTTCCAAATTCAAAATTTAATACCCATACCATTCTAATTAACACATTTAATACCAGTGCATGTTCGAAATTCAAAATTCATCACCAAAACTATACTAGTTAATTCGTTTAATACCAATGCTAATTCCAAATTTACTTTTTTTATACCAATACATGTTCCAAATTCAAAATTTAATACCCATACCATTCTAATTAACACATTTAATACCAGTGCATGTTCGAAATTCAAAATTCATCACCAAAACTATACTAGTTAATTCGTTTAATACCAATGCTAATTCCAAATTTACTTTTTTTATACCAATACATGTTCCAAATTCAAAATTTTATTCCAATGTTACTCAATTTAATAAAAATTCTACTTATTTAATACCAATTCATTTTATTTACCCAATATTACTTCGTAATTCACTTTTTTTAATACGACCGACTTTCCATCCATAGTAAATTTAATTTCTTAAATACATTGTGGTTATCATCTGCTTACATAATGTCTGCCTCAATTGACATCTATAGTCGATCGATCATCGCCGTATCAATTTATAATTCTTAACAAGACTAAGAAATCCTTTTTGTAATGTAATTTTTTTGAGAGCAATTTTTTGTGAGAGAAATTAGTTTTATGTCATGTTCTCGTATAGACTTAGTTTAATTGGATTTTAAAATTATTACTTATATTATAAATGTGAAAGTTTGAGAGTATATGTTCGTCTTTACCTCAAAAAATGATTGACAGATTATGATAAAGCTTTACATTTAACTAGCTTAGACATTAGAATAAGGGTTAATTTAAGTCACATGATTGTTCTAACTTACTTTATTCATTGCTCTCCATTTCTAAATCCAATAGCCAACCAGAAGTTGTAGTAGCCAAAAACTATTTAACTATACATATGTAAAATCTAGTCAAATTATTTAATATAAATAAACTATATAAAATAATAATATCGTTTCCATTTTATCTGTAGTTCTTCCAACCACTAACACAAAATAAACATAAAATATCTGACCATTATTCATAATACTTGACTCTCGGACCCTTTGTGAATTGTTAAATCGTTTTTCGTTTGATATATGTTATATTTTTATCTATTATATAAAACAATGAAGACCAACCCATTATATAAAAGACCCTGATTTTATGTTTATACGACTATAAGTAGATTGGGTTGTGATATAAAAATACTTATAATAATATATACATACTGTTGCTTACATTTAATCGTATTTTCTTCTTCAACCTGGCAATTTTTCCCAGCTTTAGCCAGGATCTGCCTTACATGTTGTGAATAGTTTTGGCTAATTGTTTTTACGACCGGCCACCTGCCTGACATCAACCCTCTTTGGGAATGCATTAATCAGTGATGTATAATTACTTTTAGAAAGTACATATGACTCGGAAAAGTCATATTGGTGCTTGCCAGGATCGAACCCGCGCCCTCATGCATGAGAGGCGGGCCTTTTAACCACTAGGCCACCACTGACTTAAAACCGTATTTTCTATTGAATGTAAGTCCTAAAGTTAAATAAAAATAAAACTCAAATCTATACAATGATACGGCTAAACCCCGTTCGTTTTATATGTCAATTTATAAATGTGAAAGTTTTCAAATAACCGAGCGGTCTAGTAAACAAAATGGCTTGTAAGTATTGTATAGTGTTGGTATCGGAAACAATGAGAAATGACCGGCTGGAAATTGGGTGGATTCAAGAGGATCCGGAGACGATCGACGATCTTGGAAATGGGACGTACTTGGATACTTGTATATATACATACATATAATGTATAAAACATATGTATAATCCTCTATAAGGGTAAGATTCTTAATAATACTTGTAATAAAAAAAATACACCCTGTATATCATATTATATACATATAGTAGACAGACCCTAGCTAAGACTGGGAAATTAAGGTAGAAGATAGTAGACACTGATGTATAATATATACGTAGGTAAATATAATTTATAAAAAATATGTATAATCCAGTATAAAAATAAGGTCATTAATAACACTTCTATTTTTTTACATCCTGTATATAATGTTATACACTAAAATCACAACAAACAGCCTTATTCCTTAATGAATAGAGATTATTCGTCACATTTAGCACTAGCCTCCAGTTAGGACGACTGACTTTGACAAACAAAGCCCGATGTTGACTGATAAATAAATACATTAAAACGTGAATAATACATTCATGATGTACAGCGTTACAGTTACAGTTGAATAAATGTATATACATTCAACTGTAGAATAATATTTATATTAAAAATATGATATTATTCTTAGAATCTGCCCGATCCGAGCCTGTACTATCGCGCACTCTATTTTCCTATTTGCGGGGCAGATTGGCTGTGATTGTATTGTTTCCCCCCCTCCCTTCTCCGCGTACCCCCCCTCCTTCCCAAAGCTCCCCCCACTCCCTACAAATGTGTTGACTGAGCGATGAAATACATCTCACACATAACTAAGGGTTATGTGCCTTGGAAAACATTTTCTTAAGTTTTCTTATTACTATTATAATTTTCTTTTTAAATGTAAGACTACATCTTGGTTTCATATTATATCCGGCTTGTTGATTTCCGTAGCTTGATCTATACGAGTAAAAGTTTAATGAATTATGGTAGATCATTTGCATAAGTTCTCGACTGATTTTGATAGCATTTTCTCCAATACTTTCTTACATATAAAGTTATCCATATATATATATATATAATATGATTATATATATATATATATATAATCATATTACCTGAAAGTAAGTTTGATGACATCATGATTGTCAATAAACCCGGGCCCAGGATCGCTATGGGTTAGTTTTATGAGAGATATATTGTGTTTATGTGTGTCGCGATTTAAGGCTTCGACGGTGTAATAGAAAATATTACTGTGGACCGACGAAGATGGGGTCTGACGCAGGAGATGAAGCGGGCGATGGTTAGGTTATATTAAACTGGTTTTATATAAATATTAGTACTAATAACTTTCTCCTTGTGAAATCGTAGTTAAATATATGGAGAGAAGGATAACCTAATTGATTATGACTTATGCTATATATAAGACTTTTTTTAAAGCATTTTAATTTTACGCATTCTTAGTAAAAAATATTTGTGATACATTTCTATATGGGTAAGATAATGGAAATACAAAAACGCTACAGCTTATGTATTGTGCCGGTGTCGTTCGATTTCAATGTTATTGTGTATACCGCGGATAACAAGTTATTGCTTTGATATTGCCCGCCGGTTGGAGCGGATTGTTTGTTAACACCTTACACACACACACACACACACACACACACACACACACACACACACACACACACACACACACACACATGTATTTAGAGGTGACGAAACTTCTCATCATTCAATATACTATTCACCGTGCGGGTGTCGGGTCCATCGTTGCAGAGAGAGGAGCTTCAAAAGTGCCTGGGACTTGTGACCCAGGTGTAGGTTTAAGACCCTATCTAACGCGTTAAACGCTCACCTCCACCGTCCAAGCTCCCCTCTCTACCCAACCAAATTTGAAAACAACCTACTAGGGCTGCCTTGTATGTTCCAAGAATGAATTGATGTGAGTTCTGGACAGGCTCAAATCTTTTAATAGAATATAGAGAGATTTAGCTGTTATGCCTCTCGCTCTTCTACTGCGTATAATATACTAATTTTAAACAAGTACTATGCTGCGTATCCACTTGAGTCAGTGGTGGCGTAGTAGTTAGAGGGCCCGCCTCTCGTTGTCGAGGGCGCGGGTTCGATCCTGGCCCGGGCATTATCAATGTGATTTTTCCGAGTCATATGTACTTTCTAAGACTATTTAGACATCACTGATTAATGTTGATTCCCAAAAGAGGGTTGATGTCAGGCAGGCGGCCGGTCGTAAAAACAAATAGCCAAAACTATTCACAACATGTAAGGCAGACCCTGGCTATAGCTGGGAAAATTGCCAGGTAGAAGACTACGCTACGTATCCACGTAGCACGCCGTAGCACGTCTACGTAAACCCGTAGCAGTTGTTTCACACAAGCAATTAAATATCATCACCTCATTAATAATAAGTGTGTCGTTACCGCTATATTTACTAACGATCTCTCAGCTCCGCGCTCGCCAGCAAACATATTGCATTAAACACGTACACACGAAAAACTACTCTATTACAATACAATAAGTGTTAAAATCGACTGCACATATAAGTATACGTAATATGTGAAGAACTCAGTACATTCAGCGCTTCTGATATTCTTCAAACCTTTTCAACCTTTATTTCTATGTATATAAAGGTTATATTAGCGTGTATTATTATATATAGTGGGTGTATGATCTTGGTTCCGTATAATTGGAGGCTCGTTTCGCCGCGGGTGTTGGTGGGAGAGCAATCTGTTCCCAGAATGTGTTTTTTAATTGTGACGCGACGCTTTATAAGTGGTTTAATGACAGGCTTCAGGTTCTGCTTGTGTGATGTTTGTCTGTCTGTTGGATGATTTCTACTAAACTAAATATAATATGGGTTTTTTTCTATATAAGTATTGGAGTGTTTTTTATTAGGTTATATATGTATGTAATTGTATTGTAATTCTTAAGTTATAATAATTTGTTTTAGGTACAGAAGGACTTCTTCGGCAGAATCGTTCAGGTAGCTGAGGTACAGAAACAGGGTAAGGATTGTTTTGGAGTTAACACACATACATACATACATATATATGTATATATATTAAGTAATGTGTATAAGTCATAAATTATTCTTCCATATTTAACATATCTTGTTAAACAAATTAAATCCAACGTATTATGTATGTAAAATTCTCTACATCTCGTTTGTAAGAACATTATAACAGAACATCATCAAAAACAATCCAGCCATTTAATACACACATAAAATCTCACATACATATATCTCGTGTATTTGATAGTCATCATAATTTTTATGGTCGCTCGAGTTTTATGACAAGCTATGTGTAACACGCGGCTTCACTCTCCACTATATATATATATACACAGAATGAAATGTATGTATTATAACTATTTATTTATTTAAAAACATACTTTAGCTTACACACACACACACACACAATGATGCATATTATATATGTATATATACATTATATATGGATAAAATTTATATATTATTATGCTATTTTAACTATAAGATACATAGCTTAGTAGACATACATATATGTATGTATTTGTGTACTCTTCCCCCCCCCCTCCCTCCATTTCTCGTTCTATATATATATAGCGAGTCACACATTCTATCCATTCTATATTTACGCTGGCGGGCGGAGGTTGTTTATTTCCATCATCGCCTCAACACCTGATGAACTACCATTAGTATATTAACAGACGCGATTTAATCATCATTATACATTAAGACTGAAATATAATTTACTTTTGAATTAATCATTAATAATTAAAATAAATACTTTTTATATATTATTGAAATAATTACATTATATTTTTGTATATAGTTTTGTCAATAGAAAAAGTAATAATCATTATTTTAATTTTTTTTTATGTATTAAATGTAATTAAAATGTATATATTTTTATATTATTGAAACAATTAGACTATCATTTTTTCTTTTCGTGTACATTTTTGTTGATATTTAACAGTAAAATTGTTATAAAGCTTACACTATATAAAATCAATATTTCATAATTTTTTTTATGAAATTAATAATTTTTATTATATCAAATTTCTATATATAATAATATTATTATACATTTATAAAACAAATAATAGAAAACACATTAATCCTATACAAACAAGAGACAGTGTTTAACTCCCGCTCGCTTGCCTCGGAGTAATGAGACTTGTTGAATTGACTTATTGTTTGAATTGCCTCAGCTATTATAAATGATTTATGTAGACATAACTTGTGTTTACTTAGTACGTGTACACGATCACACTGTAAGTACGGCGTATAAAACGTTAGGTCGTTCGTACGTTATTAATTCATACGACGACGCAAACCTAAATTAAAACGCCACTTCAGTACACGTGATATAAAGACACGTTATTAAGCAACGAAATTAATATCAAACAAACTGTTATTTGGTTCCGTAGATATTTATAAAAAGACAAACATACATAATAGATACAAAAGCCTTAGTATATACGAATATAATTCAAAAAGAAATTTAATTTATCCTCTTCTTCTATCTTCTATATATATAAAAATGGATTGCTGTTCCTTAGTCTCGCTAAAACTCGAGAACGACTGAACGGATTTATCTTATCATAGTCTTGAAATGTTCGCGGAGGTTCAGGGAAGGTTTAAAAGCTGATTTTTTTTTTATTAATTTCCGGGAAAACCCTAAAAACAGCGCTTTTCTATTTCCAATACAAACGTTTTTTTTGACATTAGATTTGACAACTAACTAATATGTCAATCATTCTGTCGCACTTCAGAACACGGAGATTTATGGCTTAAAGGTAAACACCAAAAAAATAAATAAGACATAATTTATTTCTTGATTGAGGCAGTACGAAGTCTGCCGGGTCAGCTAGTATGAAATAAATATTATAGTCGTTTTTTAATTTAGTCACGGATCCCTAAATCTGAAGCGAAAGTGGGTAGAAGATTACATAAAGCGATAGGTTCTGTGAGAGACCACACAATGGCGGCTATTAGCGTGTACAAACACCGAGCATACTATAATTTAACAAGTTGATTATGTGTTCTACACCCTGTATACATGGGGTAATATATGTATGTACTAGAGAGTATTTATTACTGAAACTAGTTTTTGCCCGCGACTTCGTCCGCGTTAATTTCGTCATTATTAATACATGTATAGCTAGCTGACCGGACGAACTCCATTCCGTCTTAAATAACCAGGTATTGGTATTTATTAAATTTTTCCGGTTTCAATCGAACAGATTGATTGACATATTAGTTAGTTGTCAAATCTAATGTCAAAAAAATGTTTGTATGGGAAATAGAAAAGGGCTGTTTTTAGGGTTTTCCCGGAAATGATTAATTTTTTTCAGCTTTTAAACCTTCCCTGGACTTCCAGGAGTATTTCAAAACTAAAATTAGCCAAATCGGTTCAGCCGCTCTCAAGTTTTAGCGAGACTAACAAACAGCAATTCATTGTTATATACATATATATAGATTTAATAATGAAACAAGTTATAATACTTATCATCTTTGAAATGCCTATATTAGTTAAAGGGTTTTGCCTTTATGCTGAAAAACTAGCAAATAAAATGTATGAAACATAAATTTTTAGATTATAGATGACACATGTAATTTATTTACCTATAGTCCAAGTATTATTTATACATATATACTTTATAGTTGTGTTTCTGAATCCTATCTATATATATCCTATCTATATATTTAAAATTCTCTTGTCGCGTTACACAGAGAACTCCTCCGAAACGGCTTGACTGATTTTCATGAAATTTTGTGAGCATCTTGTGTAGGTCTGAGAATCGGCCAACATCTATTTTTCATACCCCTTAGTCATAAAAGATTGTTCACTCCTATTGTTTTTCGAACGAAATTTTTTGTTTTTCAATATTTATAATGTAGATTTAATATATACATATAACCAAAAATTTTATTTTTTATCACCAAGCACTACTTTTTTAACAAAACAACGTATTCCTGGTCAGTTAGTTTAATTACAATTCTTTCACCAGCAGACGGTGTGTCGGGTCTCATCACATCAAGTGTGTTCTATCAATACAGAGAAGGATTCAACAACGCGGTCAGACGGAACGTGCGTATGAGGGATCTGATGTGAACATACCCTATATATATTAAAAATAACTTGAAATAAATACTGTATATTATTGATTAATAAACAAATAAATTACCTGTTTTTTATTTATCACCCATCTCTTTAGTTAACTCATTAAATTTTCATCATTTTCATAAAGTATTATTAGTACGAGTGATTCATACTTTCAAACTGTGAGTACTGAGTTGTACATTACCGTTATTAAAAGTAAACGTTAAATTTTAAGTTTTCACATAAATATATCAGATATTATACTAGGCGTCAAATGTTCTGAATTAATGACCGAACTTTATCGCTTCATTGTTGTAAACAAAAGATTTATTAACCTCTTCGTATTATGAAATGTTAGATTATGTACCAAATACCTACGTTCATATATTTATGATTATTTAAAAATGATATGTATATATTTATTAGATTTTTACTAATGGCAACATATATATTTGATTTTTGCTCAAAGCCGTAAAAAAATTAAAGCATATTTTCAGTTAATACAAATTATACTAGTTTTAATGTGTCACCATTAGCCTCATTAATACTGAAGTATCGATATGAAAAAATAATTTTGTTGACTATCATGAAAACCAACGAAAATTACTACCGTTATATGAAAAAATATAATTATTTTTCACTTCCATGACTTTTTATTAATAATCTACATTATTTAAGTGCAGAGGTTTATGTATGAGAAATTCGAAACAATATGTATGTAGTCTGTACCTACAACCTAACAGTAAGCATACGAATGTAATTTTAATGATTTAATAAATAAAGAAATGAACATTTTAATCTTTATAATATTTCACACTGAGAATTTTATTATATCGAATTGATGTGTATAGAAGTTCTACATTTTAATTCAAAATAATTCAAGGCAAACACAAAATGTTAAAAGTATATAATATATAATGAGAAAAAAAGAAAATATTTACAAAATATTAAATTTAAAGACTTACTTGAATTTATTCACAAGGAGTGAAATAAAAAGAACCATATTTTTGGGCATTAAATTGCTTCGAAAATGAAAAAATACATTTTAAATAAATTGTTAATTGCTCTTTTTTCTATGGTAATTTTTTGTACTTATTAAGTAACTTTTGTATTAAAATCTTCCAGTATCAATCTCCTATAGAATAACAATATAATTACGTAAAGCAAAACCTTGACACAGCTTTTCAAGAAAGTAATTAGAACGGAAAACCCCTTAAATTTAACAGCGACAAAATTCATATGGAAAATAAGTGCATAGTAAGAAAATTTTATGTTATATTACAAGTACTTTAATTTATTTCGGAAAGTATGAGTTTCAAACACATATATGTCAATATATAATATGTCAAACCGGATTCATCTTCATTAAACGTCAAACATACTGACATTTCTATTATAGTATTGAATTTGAAATAATTAATTATGTTCTAGTATGAACCGTTCAGCATACCAAATAAAAATAATGCCTGTAATTCTTATTTGTATAATGAAAATAACTAACAATTATTTGGCATTCAGTAAGTTTTTATTTCACAGTAATACTACATACATACTTGGTTTTCAATCTTGATGTACGATCAATAAGAACAATTTTAAAACCTCTCATTATCAAAAAATAACTAGGTACCTAATGATAAACTCTTATATTGTTTATAAATTTATTTTATGTTTTAATAGTTGACTGCATAGAACCTTATTTTCATTAAAATTAATAACAAAAACGAAACAAGATAAACTTTTGTAAATAAAGTATACTGTCAGCGTTATCTAATATATAAAATTCTCGTGTCACGGTGTTCGAACTTGAACTCCTCCGAAACGGCTCGAACGATTTTCGTGATCCTTATCGAGGGTACTAACCAGGGCTGAGAATCGGCCAACATCTATTTTTCATCCCCCTAAATGTTAAGGGTAGTCCACCCCTAAATTTTTGTTTTTATTTTTTAGGCAAAATTTTTTGTTTTTATTTTTTTATGACACAGCCTACAAAAATACATACAACCCTAAATTTTCACCCCTCTGAGATCAACCCTTATTTTTTATTTGTTAATTAAAAACTTTAATTTTTTGGCAATTTTTTTTTGTATTTTTTGATGACTTACAATAAAAAATCTCATATTACTCTAAATTTTTCACCCGTCTACGATCAACCCCTATTTTTTATTGTCTGTAGAGTCAGCTATATATAATAAAGAAATTAACATCATTCAAATAAAAACTAACATATATTTCTTGATTATAAGGCGGTACGAAGTTCGCCGGGTCAGCTAGTATGGATATAAATATTTATTTCTATTCACACAAACAATGTATTAACTTTGTTACTAGCTGTTGTGATTTTATGAAATTAATATTAAATGCCTTTTATTAGTTGAAATTTAGTTATAAATGTAAAAGCTGAATTTTTAATCATTTTAATTACCTACTGTTATAATTTTATAATGTGCTCTATTGTCCAAGAATTATTTTATTCACAAATATGTAATATTTAATACACGCTGCCTAAAAATGGCGATTTTTGTTTTTTGTGTTTGTCTCTGTTTTGTTTTGTTTGTTTTTATTATTATTATCATTATCATTTGCTTTTACTAACATTAGTTATAAGGTTGACATGTATTACTAATGTTTAAATATGGACTATGTCTGAGATAAATAAATAAATTAAATTAAAATTAAGACTCAAATAAAATGTTTTCAGATTCAGATTATTTATTTTTTAATTCTCTAAGCCCTAGCCTAAGAAATTCTATATCTTAATCAAATTTTAGCTTATTTTTTTGCTTCTCACGTATATAAGGTTATTTCAAGTTTGCCTTCATTACTTTTTTTCAACCACAATTTATGTCACTGTATAGTATTAACGTAGGTTCAATCAAAAACAGAAAACATTTCGTATATAGTCACGAGCTTTGAACTTACAATAAGCATGACGAGGTGACAATTTATTAATAGATCATAATTTTGTTTAACTAAAAGTTATAAGAAAATCCTTATATATCCATCTTGGAACCTACTTCGAAGGCTTAGTAGGTTCTTATGAAAATTGGTTGGGTAGAGAGAGGAGCTTGGACAGTGGAGGTGAGCATTTAACGCGCGTTAGATATGGGTCCCTCAAACCTACACTTGGGCCACAAGTCCCAGTCACTGTTGAAGCTCCTCTCACTACAACGATAGACCCGACGCACGCACGGTGAATACATTGAATGCTGATAAGTTTCATCTCATATAGGGTTGTGTAAATAAAATAATCATAACATGTACATAATAATTTTATTTATAATGAAAACAGCTATCCGAGTGACTAAGAAGCTTATATACAAGCACCGGCACCCAATTCCACACGTGGTGCATGATGCAGTTCAATGTATCGCTTCAAACATATGTATATACACGGCGCCGGTGACTCTAAAGTGATCCGTAATATTACTATTGCGTACTTTAATTCTATACTACATTAAATACTAACACTTCATAATCATTACTCGCTAGCCTGCATCTTAAGTACAGTTTATCAATAATCAAGTTAATAGATTTTATTTACAAATAAAAATTAACAGAAACATATTAATTTATTTACATAGTTATTATTACGAGAAATTAATATTCACAACGTTTTGGTCGAATACTGATAGCGGCGATGTATTTACAATTACATTATAACACATAATACTGTTGTTTACGTATTGCTTTGGTTTTAAATCAATAGAATTATATTTTTAAATTGTTTAAATAAAATAACACAAATATTCCATATATTTGGCACTTGAGAATTCACGTTTAGTTAATATTTGATACTCAAAAGAATATAACAATTTTTTTTGGTACAAATTTTTGTTAATAATAATCACAATTAAATTAATATTATTTTTTCTTATTTATCTCTGTAAAGCACTATACTTTATTATAGGTTTTTCAATCCATAGCCTACAGTTGCACGGAATTATTCCGTCATAAAAAAATGCGGGTAGTTCTAGCTTATATATAAACCATGACACGTTAAGTTTGTGGTAACAAACAAACAGTAACACTACTTATAAAATAAACAATGTACATTATATTAAATCGCTAATAAATTTACAATATTTCAGATGTTTAAGATATACAGTTATAAAAACTGCCCTAGAAATTAAATAATGTCAATTATACGAACCTACAATACTTATCATTACTTCTAAGCCGTGCTCTGCTTTTAAGGCAGCACTTTACTTGGCGTTGCGAATTCGCCGCATTTGTCCAAATTTGTACGTAGTCCAAATAGCGCAAACATGACATCCACACTTGGCATGCCGACAACACGTCTTTACGCGTTTTCGCTTATTGTATCTGTGTGTTATTTGTGCAAATATGTCAAATGAAGACGAATAAATCATCCACACATGGTCTAATTTGGGCGAACACAACAAATAAACGCCAAGTGAAATGCCACCATAACATCTAATACGTTTAAAATTTATATCAAATAAACATTATTCGGATATTAATGAACACTGCTATGAAATTATTCGAGATGTTTTGGTGGTTCAGTCGGCGGTGGCTCGTGTAACAGCGGGAGCGGCAGAGGCGGCAGCGGGAGCGGGAGCGGGAACGCTCGCGACTGGAAGTTTGCTAGCGATTGAAGTAAAGCAGCGGAATGTTCGTGAGCTTTACGTCTTAACTCAGCCACGCTCGTTGAACGAGCCTCTTCTTTAGGACAACACGGACAAGGCGCGCCCCAACCTGGGAAAAAATATTTTTGTATACTCAAACTCAAATAACTTTATTCAATATAGAAGCATTACACTTTCTTATTGATGGTCACTTGAGACACTACTCCGAACTGATAACTTAAATATATAGCTCCAAATATTGGCTACGTCTGTGAAGTTATACGTTATTCAAAATAATTTTTTGTACTCTTCAGTCATTAGTACGATGAGCTCAAAAGAGTGTATGAATTGAAGACATAAAAATAAAATATCACGTGGAATGAATGAAATAATTCTATATTAACTATGAATAACTGTAGTGAGAACAATTTTATGTTTTATGACACAATTGGAATCATCAATACTCTACTTAAACACCTAAATAACGGGCTGAAATGTAGTGAATAGATTATAGTAACTAAACATACTTATTAACCCTTATATACTACGTAAGCTAATTCTGTACCTATTTAATGTACGATCTATTAGAAATAAAGACAGTATCTATTCAACAGTCTCGGCTTTCATTCCTCTCTCAGGGCACCACATTACAGGGCAGTTTTCTATACGCGCCTTACAAAAAACTAGATAATTAATATATGTATGGGTTGTAAGTAAAGTTAGCTTACCTTTTAACGGGAAGAAAGGCTGCGATAGATGATTGAGATGCTGGGATAGATGAGAGAGATGAGGAGGCAGGAACAGAGGCGGAGGGTCACCACCGCCCGCGGCCGACGAACGGAACGCGCCGCTGTAATATAACACTATTAGATGCATGATACTGATATATACAGACATTTAAATAAAACTAGCTTTTACGACGTCGTGCGCCTTAATTTAGGTGTTAGTAATACATGTATAGCTGACTTGGCGAACTTTATTTAGAGCTATTGGCCGTAAACAGATATTGGAATATATTAAGTTTTCTTTTTCGATCGAGCAGAATTAAATATCCTATGTCCGTCTCCCTACCAATTTTCAACCATATAGGTACCTACAGCCGTTCTTGAGTTATAAATAGGGTAACTAACACAGATTTCTTATATATGTATAGATCATATTTTTCACATTCTACTTCCTTTATTTAGCCCTTTACGGTTACTTATTGGACTGTGATCAGTGAAAGACAAGATGAAAGTACCTAACGCTTTACAGTTACTTTAGAATATAAAAACTCAGAAATAAACAAAGGAATTAATGATACAAAAAAGAGTTTTACTTATATTGGTGGTTGATAAATATAAAAGATATGTATTAAAATACTCTTCATTATAGATTATACTGTCACTAAGAGCTTTATCGTCCACCAGAATCTAGATTTATTTCAGCCTAAACCTACACAAATGTTCGTACAACTAAATGTCAGAGGAAAAGGTTTTATAAGATTCCTAGCTCGTAAGTCGTAGCAATCTCGCGAGTATCCCCGCGGGACACAGCAAGTTTACGTATGTATTACACTAGACAGAAATAGCAAATATATTTATACTTTAAGATATTGTTTTTGTACCATCACTTACTGTTACTATCTCGATATTTAGAAGATTAAAGTTCGATAAACATGAATAAAGTTCCAAAGCATGGGCTTTAATTTGAAGACTAATGAATGATTGTTTTAAATTATACTACAATATATATAACAAGTATATAATGATATAGACAAGGAAAACTTTAGACTATATATATTATATATACAGTAAATTTATATAAAACAATGTATAAGAAACAGTCTCTGAGCGGTCGGCTGGCTGCAAACTGAATTTGAGGATCAAAGAGCTGTCTTATCGCATCTGGATCACATTCAAATGAACCGGGAACGAAGATTCAATTTGTCATCAATTTAAATTAATTCGTTCACAATTATTTATGTTATATTTAATATTAATAAAGTTATAAAACATATTACGCGTTATCAAAGTAATAACATTATGATCTCTGATTCAAAGTGAGTTGGGGATTTTAATTAAAAAATCACGTACGAAAGGGTAATTGGTTTAAAACAATGTCGAAATTAATTGGTGAATGTCTGCGTATTCTACATCACAATGTCACAGATGATGGAAGGGTACAGATTGGAGACAATGAAGCGAACGGACGAGGTGTCGCCTCGCTACAGAATTCTCTCAGTGCATACTTTATGTGTTTATAGCGATGGTGCAAGTTACTAGTGATAGCGGGGAAATTATACGAATCATTTTAATGAAACTTATATTTTCGGATTACTATGCTTTTTTTACTATTTTTATCTACATACTCCTTACGTTTCGGTTACTTTGAAGCAACCATGATAAAGGAATCTTTAGCATTCACATCTCGTCTGTCCGGTTGATGCAAAGTAACGGAAACGTCGGGAGTATGTAGTTTTTCGAAAATAATAAAATAAGCGTAGTAATCCAAAAATATTAGTTTCATTTAAATGAATACTCGCGAATCTGTCAGATCTCATTTCAGATAATAATAATTAAAAGTTAAGCTTACATCACTTATATCGCACACAGATTTTAAAACAAAATTAAATCCTATATTTACAAAGCGAACTGTTTTTAATGCGTCCATTATATAATACTAACAGCGAGCTAACAAACAAAGTATTTCAATAAAATAACATTTTTCAAGTAAATTATATCAAGTATTTATATAATTAAAGTTAAAAAGCTCAATAAATCTCCGTCGCTACTCGTACCAATGACTTCTCCTATAAATTCCCCGAGGCATTCGTTCAATGGAATCAAAGGATTTTCGTTCATTACAGCGACTAATAATTGATGTCGACCACCGCACGCTCACACTCGAGACGTACCCTCACAGAAATAATGCGCTAATGGAAACACACGTTGTTTTTTCTATTCGCACACTCCTCAATTCCGATACAATGCTGAATAGAAAAAAATCACACGATATTTTGGCTTCCATTATTTGATTATTGAATTATTATACGAAAAACTATTTATTTTCAGTGCGATTTTGTTTTTAAAGACATATTTATTATGTATATATTAATAGCAAAAATTATAAGTATTTTTAAATATAGGAAACGAAAAATCAAGTATCTTTGAAAGTATAGGATCAGGTCAATCTTAAAGTTTGAATTCGCTCTTGTTTAACGAAGCACGGCGATATTAATTGCCAAAGGGTGGTAGGAGGACGTCCCAAATTGTCCTCCTTGAGTTGATAATATGAATATTCAACTAGCGAATTGAATACTAGGCGTTGAACAAAGAGAATTCACGTTACCTTTAATGCCCTTAGTAATTTTGATTAAAGCGTCTACTAAATTGAGTGCTGCGTTTGTTAATACATTGTTTTGTTATATAAATATATAATTATTAAATTGTTTTATATTCAAATGAATACAATGAATTTATAATTAGAGTATCATCCTTAAATAACTTTTTGTTTTAAGTATATTAAGAGTTTTCAATATCGTGTTAACTGTAGCATATATATGTGAATATAGCTGATATTTTTTTAATATATAAATTGACGATTCCTTCGGGATGTATGGAAAACATTGCTGTATAATATAAGATAAAATAAACGTTATTTTACATAGTATGATATATTTTAATCTGGAATGTTCTCAGCTGGTACACCCGTAGTGACGTATGTAAGTTCAGAGGAAGCTATTCTGATAGGAGTCAGGGTAGTGTCGGTAATGAGTCATCAATTATTCATGCAATTAACTGATTATAGCGACACCATGGCCTCTTGCTCGCCCCAACTATGGCTTGTGTGTGTGTGTGTGTGTATGTCTGTGTGTGTAACAGTATGTGATGTCACACCTCCAATTAGATTACATGGTTTTTATATGCAACAGTAATAATAAAGAAAAAATATATACTCCAAAGATCGCATGCATTTATAAACAGTTAAGAATATTGCATGCTGTACGTAAATGTACACACGTAATGTTTACGTAATGACGTAATATTAAATAACAATTGACGCACGTAACGCTCGCATCCCGCGGGATATCATCATTTCACGTTTACGAGTAACGAAGGCTCGTTCAACTCTTTCTCATTGCACGTAAGTCAATTAGCTTACCGCGTGCAAGCTTACGTTATATTTATATAAGGGTATATACAGCATTATATATACATATGTATATAAAATAAAACAATTTCAAATTGTTTTTTCGTAGTTATTGTCAAGCTATTTTTTTATATATGTATAAAGAATTGGTTACTTGTGTTTTCCTATTATAAGATGCAATAAATATATATGTATGTGTGTTATAAGTTTTTGGTATAAATTTTCTCGTTATATTCACAAATCAGCCCGGCAGATGGCGCTGCAGGTAATCTAAGTTATTTAAAACGAAAAGTCCACAACGTACTTTATATCCATTGTTAAAACAATTTATACTTTTTTCAGGCAGACGTAGTCGCGTGCAAAGACTAGTAATATATGAAATTGTATATGTATGTACCCACAAAACCTTAGTTTTCTTTATATAACATAGTATTGAAGATAATGTTCAACAAATCTATGCTAAGTCTACGTTTTGATAATATTATAAATCAAATTGAATCGGTAGTAGATCCTTAACTAGTGTTAGAATTCTGTACATCCACTTATTCTGTTAAAACATTGCCTTCACTTAGCGCCGCGCACCGAGCGACTCTAAATTACTGTCAATTTATAATACTGCATAATTAATTTTCATTTGTGAATATATGACAAATATATTATGTTTAATATATTCATATTGTTAAGCGTTGGATGAACGGGTTTTAGTTCCGTCTGTGTGTACATTCTTATATTTTTAATATTTAGTTTACTATACGTAGTACTTATGGAAAAATTTTGATGATGCATAGTTTTTCGTTGAATTTCATAGATGCGTTTGTCTATATAAGTAATATTTTTGATGTATATACAAACGTATATGTATATTATATATATAGCGGTTTTTTTTCTAATAATAGCTTGCTTACATAATTCATATTTCATCCCGGGATCGCTATGACACCACTTTATGTACATCTTTAAGAGATAAATTTAATTTTAAGGGAAAGGTAGGCGGGAGGTATCTAATTGCCAATTTTCGCTTTACCGTTTTTTTTTCCCAGCTTCTAAGGAGAAAAATTCGTTAATGCATATTTAATATTCCTAATCGTCTCTCCCTCGGTATAAACGAGCTATTTACATTTACATTAACATTAGTGAAACACGGTTTAATTATAACATTTATCTGTTCCTGCGTTAACGCGGATATAACGAATGTAAGTACATTTAAATGTACATATGTATATGTCCATTTAAATGTAGTGTAATCCGTCCGTCAACTAGCCAGCCTCGCGGGTCCACAATCATTTTCTTTGAGCCCGCCGTAATCCCTCCTCATGTTTAATGCGTGCATATAAATTTCAATTTTAAACCGGCTAGAGTTACAACCATTTGCGGAATTACGCGGGGGTTAGAGCGTCACGTACAAACATACTTACATCTTTAATATTACATTATGTTTGCTCATTTTTTTTTTAATATATACCTATATGGCGAATTTTCATCGAATATTCTATGCATTTAAAGAGGTTTTATATAACATATATACAAGTTTAATGTACATAGATTAAATATTTCGTTGCGGACTGATTAATGAAATAATTTTTCTATTATATATATGTCAAATGTAATCATTATATATATGAATGCATTATACTGAAATATATGGTAAAATGTTCCACACTCCACTCGAATGTTGCAATAGTAAAAAACTCTAATATAAATAAGAATTGAATATGAAATTTACGTTTTTTTTTCATCAGACCATC